AAAAAAAAAACAGGCACACATCCATACATATAAACAAGACCAACACTTTTGATTTGAATACAGCTGCAGCTGTTATTTTGTAAATCGGTTCAAAATTGATTTGTTTTCACTGCTCACATAGTCATAGACAAGACTAGAGGAAAGGAGAGAGTGTTGGTTAGCTGGTAGCATTTTTTCAAAACTAACGTCATTTCCCTTCTCAAGTTTTTTTTTATCGGATACTTGCAAGAGTTATTATCTGTTTATCTCAGGATCGTTGTATGATTGGATAAAAATGTTGCTGCTTCTGCTACTGCCGCTGCTGTTGCTGCTTATGTTTGCATATGTATATATTTATATAATAATATACATTGTTGCTCATCCGCAGTGTGGGCGTTGATATCTGTACTCCACAGGAAGGAAAGAGCAAGCAGCAAGCAAATAGATTTTAGCCGGCTAACTGACTGAATTTTTGACTGACTGACTAACTGACTAACTAACTGACTTCAGTTGCTAGTGGCAGGAACAGCAACAACCCCGCAATGACTGTCTCTTAAATGCATTCGGGATGATCATTTTCTTCTTCCTGAGACTGTCATATTTTTTTTACTGTTTTTTGAAACTGAAGCGAATTGTTCACTGTGAAATTTAGTTACAATTTGATCTTTCATTTGTTTTCTCATTTTTCTTTCTCTTTTTCTTTTTTCGTTTAGAAAAGATTTTTTTGAACAAAGATAATTTTTTCAGATTTTTTTGAGCATAAAGTAGCTTTTTTTCTAAATTTTTTTTTGCTATAAGTAAAGTTTGTTGTATGTAAATAAAGTTAATGTTTGTTGGAATAGAGGAGGAAAAGCATAGGTGGTAATGATTCTTGGCGAGGAATTTGTTCAGCCAGTCTTGTTTGACTTGAGCATCTGGTTGCTTACTTCATTTTGCGCAACTACCCTTTTATTTTCCAACTTTATTTCTGAACCATATTGCGGTTTGCTATTATTTCTGTTGATACTGTTTTTATTTTTGCTTTTATTATTATTAGTATTGTTTCCCTTATTGTTTTTTTCTTATTCTTCAGTTTTACTGTTTTTCGGTGTGCAAACGTCCGGAATTCTTCGTCTATTTATTCACATACGACATGCCCTAATCTTTTTTCCCGATATAAATACGACGAGTAGTATTAAGTTCGAGTGCGCAACCTAAATTTTATTTTCTGATAAATAAAACTACGATTATCTGTGGTGTTGCTGTATCGTTCGTCTAATTTGATCTCTGATGAGAGATCACTGTATCGCTGTAAAGTGTTAAAATGAACGGTACCGTGAATTATTATTCTGAAGAGCCTCCAGCGAACTTCAGAAGGTTGAGCGTGAAAGATCAATACCGGCGTGGAACGGAAATCCGACCTTTACCG